TGCAGGTGATTGTTTATCACAGTGTTTTCTGATGCCCATTTGCAGACGGCTTTGTCTCCGAGTCTCTTGGATTGTTTGACAGATGAAGTTTATCTAATCCTGCAAAACAGTACACAGTAAGGAAAAACTGAGATTCTCTCATGTTTCATGCATACAAGTACTCAAAAGAATACATACAAACCAAATTCGACTTTGTGATTAAGGACTTTGTGTTTGCTAAAGCCCAAAACTGACATTCTAGCTTACATCAGAGTTACTACTGGGAAATTCCCTCAGTTGTGTTTTAAGTGAGAAAAGTCCATTACAATGGATCAGCATGGAAGTGAGAGAAGCCTAACGTCACGTTGCTTATATCAGACTGAGATGCTAAGAACCGATAAAGACTTGCAAGACTCTGTCAACCTACAAAGACCAAAATAATTACCTAAAATATTTCTTTTAAACTATAGCATCTTTCTGAAAATCATCCATTTCTTATCTTAAGGTCATTGGTGATGACCACATATGAACAGTGTAGAGAGGTGATGTCTAATCATGTTTTTAGGCCTACGTTATTACTAATTTGTTTATCTCCATTTCTAGCGAAGTGCTAATTAAAGTCGCCCATCCTGCCCCAGGCAACTACTCTTTTTTGTGGGGAGGTGGGGAAAGATGTTAAATTTAACCACTTTTTTTTTTCCCCCCACAAGAAGCACAATGCCAATCTCCTTCCTTGCTTGCTACCGTTTCTCTCTCAAGTCTCCCATCAAGTCTCTAAAACTAAGGATCAAAATTGGAAAGAGCTTCTTATTCATTTAGCATAGACTATACTGAATGTTTTACTGAAGTGCCACGATGCACCAAGTGGAATTTCTTGCATCACTGGAACTCCAAAATTGACTGCACTTCTAAAAAAAAAAAAAAACAAACAAAATCTGCTCAATGTGGTATTATTTGCAAGTCCAAATATTACATGAATTCTTTTGGTCACAGGCCTGCAGCAGTAATTTACCTTCCACGAATTACCTACAATGCTCCACCTCCCTCTAGCCCTCACTATCACAGTTTTCAGCATGGGGGAAAAATGAGGACACAAACTTCGGTTATCATTCTTTTCCATGTGACAGTTTTGAAACAGACTTATGCACAGTGTTGAAAACAAACCGGGTTTGTGTCAGGAACCTGTGCTCTTCAGGATTTATAACTCCTTGCTTGTGTCAAGTGCAAACCTTTTACCAATTACTTTGCTCCTCCATTTTGATCACCATATTTACACAAAATCACACAATATGTGATGGCAAGATGACAAAAAAAAATCCCTAAAAAATCCACTAGAATGATGGTATCCAGTGACTATTATCCTACTACACCTGTATTTTGAAGTTTGTTAATCTGCTTTCGACATACATAATTTTTTATTAAACTCTATACGTTTAATACAGTAAAGTGCCATGAAATATCAAGATAAATCTTTTACATCATTTACTTTAAGAAAGAAGCTTTAAAGTTTTACCAAACCTGTTGCTATAAGCCCATTCTGACTGATGTTAATTTATTTCCTTCAGAGCTCTGCAACAGCTATTACGTTATAAAAAGTAATACCTTTACAGTCAAAGCAGCTGCACAAAAACAAAAGAAAAAATAGGACTGTGCAAGTCAACTGAAAAAGATGAATCAAGGTCTTCTCATAAAATGACCTTGACTAAACGCTGGGGGGTAGTGTCAAATACATCACGCTTGTATCATTATCTGTCTCAATCAACAATGGAACTTCTACGAAAGTATTTCCACCATAACAGTCAATGGACAGATTTACACCCCTCTGGCCCACTCATCTATTCCCTGCACCTTCAAAACTCAACATCAAAAATCACAGAATAGCTCGTTTTAATCCTACACTATCATTTTGTATTTCCCTATTCAGTCAGTCTGATTTTAACTTAATTGCCACCAGTAGAGCTGCATTCTAGGAAGTGCTTGGATTTTGTTTACCAGGGTCACAACTCCGTAAAGCAGTAATCAGCAAAAAGTAACATAAGTACCTTTCAGGCACTACAAACTGCATCCGCAGTTATAAACACTGAATTTTTCCCATTAGTCCCCTCAATTTAAGCAACTACTACTCTAGGGTTCTAAACAGGTAGAAGCTTCATTAATTAGTAGAGATAATATGTAGTAACGATTACTAAATATGTACATTTTATCCTCTTAGTATCAAATACGTTTCAAGCCTTTCTTCTATGGCCAAGAAACACAAGTGCATAATTTGATCAAATTGAGCCAGTAACTGAGCCAGTTACTAAGGTTCTGTACATTTTGTACAAAGATTTTCTGAACACGTAATGCTCAAAAAACCAAAAGCATCACAACAAAGCAGCTAAGACCTCTACTGAACTATTTTTAGGGAATAAGTTGCTTTAAACAAAAAAAGAGAAAAGCCAAGCCACCCACAAGTTGGGGTTTTATTTTGGAGTAATTGCTCAGTAGCAACGAGAATGTTTCTGTGCTCTTTAAAGGCTGAAAAATCTAACTGCAGATAAGTACATGGACATCTCATTAAGATCAACATTGTACCTTTGCTCTCAACTCTTCAAAAAAAATAACCCAAAGCTACGCGTTCTCACCTTCACTTATACAAACTTCCACCAAAGAAAAGGTTTGTGCAGGTTGTAACAGAACTTTAACAGCAGCACATTACGTTACCAATGCTGGAAAAAGGAAACGCTCAAGTACCAACTAAATTTTCAGTGCCATATTATTACCTAATGCCTTCAGGAGCTCTTCTCGCACAGCGGAAGTGAACTTTCTGACCAGACATAATGTTGTCATGATAGCAAAGAGCAAGTTGTAAGATAATACAATATAGAAGTTTCCCAGCCAGTTAAACCTTCCGAAGTCTCCAAGAAGATCAAATCTGGTGATTCCTGTTAAAATTACATTTAAGATTTACATTAAAAAAATCATTAAATTTTTTAAGAAGCACAAAAATTTCATTCTATTACTTTTTACACATGGATGCAAAATTCTTTCAGACAACACTAAGACACATGGTTAAACACATAAGAGAAGCATCTTAAGGTCATTTTCCCCTTCATGGGCCACTATAAAACTCAGACACACTTCTCAAAATGTTTCTTAAGTTTCCTAGTAAAACGCTTGAATAATGTGAGTTGAAATATATTGTCTACTCTAGATGAGAATTCTGCTTTTATAATGTCATTAAGTGTAACTAGGAAATAATCAGTATTAGTATGAAGACTGCTTGAAATCTCAGTTTCTATAAAATCTGTATCTACTCCAGAAAAGGATGAAATGCACTGCAGGCTTTCTTATTGAAAGATACAGGTAGCAAAACGCCTTTCCACGAGAGCCACAACATCTTACAATAAACACTAAGCCTTTGTAAGTGTTTTTTCAGAGCCACTGCTTTTGAAACCAAAGTTCAACACATCTTTCCAACTGCAGGTTGTCTCCCAGATCTACCCACCACTGTAGCCACAGAGCATTTGCACAGACAGAAAAGAGTTTGGCTGAAAGATGGTGCTGACAGGTCTTCTTCACAGCAGACCACATCACACTGACACTTGGGCTTTGTGCTGATCAAAGGCTAGTCAATCACTAAAGCTAAGTGACCAAAATTCTTGCAAAATGTGGAAGTGTCTACAAGCTCGAGGGTCCACCCTGGAAAGCAGAAGAACCACCATAGGCTGTTCCTCTGCCAGGTCTACATCAAGGACTGCATTGAATAAAGGCAAGAATACTGAGATGATACCCAAGTAACAGTTGACTAGGATTGACGAGTCATTATATTCCAAAAAAACCACTTTTTTTTGGCACAGACGATGTCACATTGATGTGCGCTTTCACAGCTGAGACCAACACTGCAAAAGAAGGACGCTCAGCTCACCCCAGCACTAAGGCGGCAGCAGAAAACCAGGCAATCAGAAAACAACCCTGGCTCTGAAGTTCCTGGAAGTGAGTTTTCCATTATCTTATTTTAAAAGGCTTTGGGGGCTTTTAAGAACTGTGACTTCAACAGTGATGATAAATGAAGAGAGAGAGAACAGAACTGAGGGCCAGTTACCTTCCTTTCAAGGGTAAACCTGTCACTTACGGATCGCATTGTAGTTTGATACCCAACAAGACTTACAGCCAGTTATCACAATGTTAAAAGGTACACGCTTCTTGTACTCAGCATCCATCAATTTAATAAAAAAAATAGGGGAATCAAATTTAATATCTAGGAAAAACATGCCAAAACAAAGAAAGTTAAAAGAAGGAGAATTTTCAAAGGATAAAGCAAAAAAACCCCACCACTGAAGCTGATCAAAATAGCAAGAGAGGCAGGGAGAAACATCAAAAAGAGCAGAGAAGGTCTTAACACAAGAAGAAACTGGCTGACTGAATCAACCAGTACGTGGAGGAAGGATAATAACCACGGAGTTGCTTTCACACTCGAAGCCAAACCGACAGTGTCCTTAAGAATATTTTCAAAGCAGCAGAGAGTGTTTTGGTCAGACTGCAGAGCTACAAGAACATTGAGAAAGTCAAGTTCCAACGTATAGGCTTCCAGACCCTTAAAGGAAAAGAAACAAACAGCTAAAGCACTGAGTAAAGAGTTCTCTGGAAAAGAAAAAACACCCCTCGACACAAAGGGGTTTAGAAGAATAGCTAGCGACAGAGGAGGCGTTATGAGGACAAACAAAAATGACGCCTGACACTTCTGTTAAAGTAGGTGGGAAAAATATTGTCCACAAGTTACATTCATTTCTTCTTTATTTGTAAGTCACTGCCCATCAGAAAAAAAGAAAGTCTGATAGTATCATTTTGTAGTTTGTGGGAGAAAGGGGTTAAAAAGCTTTTGCTGACTTACTGACAGAAGTATCTACTCAGCCCACAGAAAAAAATTCCCAAGACTGCAATCTGAAAGACTATTCAGTGACTGAACAGAACGCTACATCTCTAGCAGACACAAATACATATCCAATAAAGTTGGTGACAATTTACCAAATAAAATACTAAAGAACTGTTCAGGTTAAAAAAAAAATTACTGTGTTTTTAGACTGTACATACAAATAAGTTTTAAGTCACTCATTACATGACTATAGTAAGAGAAGAATTCTAGAAATACTTTCGTATATTAGATTTCGGTTTTGTTTGTTTCTATATTCTTGGCTCTTAAGTGTTCTGTTCCAAATTTGTTTCACAGTGGTTAGCAATATGGTGCTGGTGGAAAACTATTTTTCAAGAAGGACTACTAAAAGGCTGCAAAGTTTTGGAAAAGATGAGTTAACTTATTCTAGTAAAATAATTTATTTTAGTAAAAGCTTTCCTGGAGTTCTAAAAGAATGACAGATTAGAGACATTCACCACCTCCGTATTTAATGAGATTGCTATAAAACACAAAAATTCTCATATTTCCATTTTTAAAACTTGAAAAGGATCAGTACATGTATTAGATAACTTTTGCTCTTTTACCTTTCCCATAGTGATCAAGCCTAGTCTTTTCTGTATGGTCCAGAAACTCGCTTTTTTAATAAAGTGAAAAGACTATGAATCTGCTTAACATATTTATTTCTTTTCATCTATTCAGTGCCACAGGGCGGTAGCATGTAGCGCAACACATGTTGATATTTTTGCAAAGCACCACATGACTCACTGTACTCTAATACACTCTATTAATCCTGTTTGGACAGCTGTGACTGTGCATTTGTTAGCTGTGCGTTAATTGTTCTATTTTTTTTTTCTTCTTTTATTTATCTCTATGGCAAACTATTCAGGAATTTCATTTGTTAGCCTTTTTTTTTTTTTTAAAGTGAGTTTTACCAGTAATCTGTTTCCTATGAGACATCAATGCCCCCAGCATGTATACTTAGTTCCACGGAATCCGTTTATTATGAACTGTTAATCTCACAGATCATTAACAATGATTTTATTTTTTTTTAAGTAAGTGATGAATGCAGTAACTTAGTGGACACAATACTAATGTGAAAATTCTATTCTAAAACACTGATTTTTCAACATAACATCTTGCTCTAAGTGCTAGAACTGGTTTATTTCTTACATCTCCACCATACTGGCTATACTTTAAAACTGCGCTACTTTAAATACTTGAATTCTTCTTCTGCATTTTTGTGAAGTTTTAGTACAGTTTTAAAACACGAGCTCGAGAACGTGTATTTTAAGATTCAACCCTCCAAAATGCATTACAGGTGGTTTTTTTGTTTGTTATAGAAGTGATCTAGTAAATCTAATAAAACTCATCATTTGTAGATATGCACAGCATGAAAATATACAGTATAGTTTACCGGAAAATGTTAACTACTCTTGATTTGACAGTATTCTGGTTGAAAAGAAAAATCAGCTACAGAACCACTGGGTGCACATTACTGGTCCGTGGGCCTGAGCTTAAACTCCTAAGCTTGCATTTAAAACTCATACAACCAGAGGTGAAGATTTTTGGTTTGTTCTGTTTTATGTTCCCAATGAAATTCACATTAGCTGCAAATATTCTGCACTACTTAAACATGTCATAGCCTTGTAATTTAAATTCAAGAATTCAAACTGAAGATTACCTAATTAAAGTGAAGATACAAAACAACTTATCATTCCAACTGGTTAAAATAATTTTTCCAATTCAAATGCTATTGCCAGTTCTTAAAACAAAATCAGAACTTCTTCAGGTCTACTATGCTGGAAACCAAATTTTTATATTTGGAAACTGAAGTAACAAAGAATGCAAGCAGATTATTTTAGGGTAAATGAAAGTAGCCAGGTATCATTGCCGATAAAAAAACCTTACTAAATGAAGAGTCATTAACTGTTTTTAACAAGACATTTGCACTCAATGTTATCTCAAATTTTATACCTGAAATCCCCAAATGTATTTGTTCCATGAAAACTGAGCACTGTCATTTCACAGTGAACACGAAACTATTTTACACTACCCTGAACAAGCAAGTTTAACATCTGATCTACCTTTTGAAAAGAATATATTCTCTAGAAAATGCTTAGCATCTTTTTTTTCAGAATGTATGTTCTGCAATCCATTTACATAGAATGTACGTTCAACAGCTCATGTTGGTGTAGAAAAGAAGGCCACATATATATACTCTTTCTATTGGAAGTGATGGCAAATTAAATACGTACTTTGAAAGGTACAGTTACAGGCTGATTGGTTTGGTTTGTTTTTTATTTAACTCAGTTAAACATCCTGTATTACAATGTTTTATACTTTCATTTCACTTACCCAGTGTCCTTGACATCACTGGCAACGCAGAGCTTAGCACCAAGATTGAGACACAGTTTCCAATGATCTGTTTGAAAATGACAAACAGCATTTGAATTATAAGTGGGATTCTTGAAGGAAAAAAAAACCAAAACAACCAACAACAGAACAGTGGTCAAGATGAAAAAGATTTCCTGAAAATAACATTCTTCAAACTGAACCTAAAGCAATTTACAATAACATAGTCTTGCTTACTTCTGTCACACTTCTCCATATGGAGTTAAACAAGATGATGATCCAAGAGAAGAGTTAGTAGAGATAATATGTAGTAACGATTACTAAATATGAAGAGTTTAAAAAATGTAACATGTAACTATTTGCTTTTATTCGAAGTGTTACGTATGCTGAGATTCAAAATAATTCAAAACGATCATGTTGCAAAGCATCAACTGTTTACTTAATTCCTGCAAACCTTTTACAAAAGAACCATTCCATGGACTTAGAATAGATGACTGATACATCAGCTTAAGCTTTGTATGTAACTGCTTGCAGGATTAGCATTATTTAAAAAATTACAACAAAGAGCTTCCTTTCAATTGAAAGCCTGTTGACTACTTTAAATAGTACGAAAAAATTCACAGCTGTTAGATTTTACTCTACTTTTTGTGAAGCCTTTATAAAGAGTAATTGAAACTTTCTCTCACAAGGGATCACTTTCTTCAGCTCTAATTCTACCAGAATCCAAAAGAAAACAACAGGAACCTTCTCAAAAGTAGGTAGATATTTGTGCGTTCACTATTTATTTCTACACTATTCCTGGCGTACTGTAAACAAACAATAGAAAAAATTAAGAACATTCCAACTCCCTGCTAGCCATCTACTACAACCACTCTATTATGTGTTTACCTGCTTCCTCACTTCCAAAAATTTATGTTAAAAATGTCTTTATCCATTACTTAAAAAAAAAAAAACAACAACAAAACAAAACCAAAAGAACTCCGACCAAACAATGAAACACACAGAAAAAATAATTAAATTCAACATCTGTTCCTTGGTTACTGATCACCTCCCCTTGTCAGCTGTGGGAATATTTTGCCAAAAACCTAAGCATGTTCCTCTGCATTAGGTAACAGCATTTGTTATTCTGAAGCCAGTGCTAAAATGTGGAAAGTCAAATTAGCCTCAGACTGCAAAATGTTGCTGAATAGACCCCCTCGGTCTTCGATTAATTATTCAAATTTGAATTACTTTGTCTGTATTACTTTTAGCAACCAAGTTCTTCAGATTTCAAACAAGCTCCCTGAAGTACAGTTAGCACAATCAAAGTTACTCATTAGCAATACGTTTCCTTTGAAAAAAGTTCTTTCACGAGCTTTTCTATAGCTGGTTAACAAGCTCGGCTATTCCCGGCTTTTTACAAGTGAATGGATGCCATCCAAACTAAACAGAGCACATCCTTTTTCCCACTCATTCAGCATTTTGAAAATCTTCCAGTTTGTGTTTACGAAGCTTACAAACAAATACTGATCACTGCAAATGAGCCATTCAGGGCAATTACTAACTAACAGAGTCAGTTTGTCTTGGGTGGCGAGAAAGAGAGGAGGGGGCCATCGCCATCACAGACTTTACCTTACCTTTGTCATAGTTGTGTCATCCTTCCTGGGAGTGAAATTTTCAAAAAAACGAAGACTGTAGAAGCCGACGACAGAGGATACCATAAGATAGCTGTGAGAATCAAGGAAAAAGGAACCTCCAAGGAATGCAAGTTTCACTCAAGTTCTCAGTGTCCTAAAAGTCTTAAGAACCAAAGAAAAAAAAACAAAAACACTTCGAGTGCTTGAGAAGGACTGACCTATCTCTTTCTTCTTCCCAGGCAAGTGTCTTAGTAAATTACCAGTGTCCCAGAAAACTAGACAGAATACTTGTTAACAGACAGAATTCTTAAAGAAAGGATACAAAATCAAAATGATTTCAAGTGCTGCTCCCACAAAACCAAAGGTGGATAGGGAGGCATTTCCTATGCCAGGTCCCTACAAGGAAAAAAATACTTTGCATAATTTAGTAAGATAGATGCAACTGTTCCTAAAGTGAACTTCTACCAGGACCCACAAAACTAACATCTGACATGAAATACAGCCTTCTCTCAATTCAGTATTTATGGGCCTTTCTGATGTTCTAACCTGCAAGTCTCCCATCCAGCTACCTTTCAAACCGGAGTGAAAGGTATTACGAAGACAGAAGGTGTCGTGATTCACATTTTAAGCACACCGCATCTACCCACCATGCTGCATTATAGACATACCCCATTACTTTGGAAACTAAAATAAGAGGTCTCAAAAGACAACACTTCTAGCTGTTCACAACACCACAAGCAAAGCAGCCGTAACTGCTAAAAACCTTTTATAGCTCTGCAGGCTCATATGCAGCTACACGCAGGGGAAAGCATTACCAAGTTAATTAAAACTCCCTCATGATTAAAGACACTATTATTCTATCTGCTGTTCTTTACTTTCTTAAAGTACTTTTATCGTAAAGGAGGGGAAAAAAAAGTCATGTTTTATAAGAGGACCACAAACACAAGACAGGCTTTTCATATTGTTTTGTTGTTTGGTTTTTTTTTTTTACATAGTTCCTTAAATTGAACATTTCTAGACTGTATAAAAGTAGGAGACATGAGTAAAATGCAAAATCCAGACTTACTGATTTACTTTACTGAATCACTGTATCTTCATAAAGATTTATTGGGAACTCACTATAACATGACATGTAACAAATGTTTATGTGTGCACAAGACCGAAACCTAGAAGGTTGAGGCTCATTAGTTTCAGTGTTATTAAAGCAGAAGTTCTCACTTGCACTTTTGTAAGGGCTCCAAAGCATTACTAAAATTATAAAAATCACAAGAGAAGTTTACTTTACCCCTGATCCCTTTGGCATTGCAGTCTCATCAACCAACAGGTAAAGAATGTTGAGAGCAACTAAGAGGACTGAGATGGACTATAAAGAAGTAGAGACAGTCTGGTTATTTAAAAGCATTCCACATTTTTAAAATGTATACATTTATCCTCACCAGACTTCATAATGTTAAGTTCTGTTAAAATGGTCAAGAAAGGAATATCAAGTTTGTTGCTTAAAGACACATCACTCTAAAATTTTAAAATTATTCCCCCAAATGACCGAAGAATTCTTCATACTTTTTGCTGTGGAAAGACACACACAAAAAAAAAGCACAAGTTCTTACTGTCTCGATCAGCAGCAATATCATAACAGCTGGATAGACTAAATTCCGTTCCCAAGCAGAAGCTTTTTTCCGCCGTTCTGTTCAGAATAGAAAAACAGAAGCTTAATACTATAGATCACCTTAGAATAAAATTAGTAAAAATCATTTGGGTATCTGTAAGCTCTTGTTAAAACTATAGGTAACAAAGTAATCTTATCTTGAACACACACCAACCAGTTCCTAGAAATATCCACCCTGAAGAGCTGCACAAAGCAATGTCAAAAACATGAAGCCTCTTAAGAGAAAGACTGGGGAGACACACAGAAGATTTTTATTTCTTGTTTACACACGTTTCACCATAACATTTTTTTCTGCGGCATACAACAGTTTTGCAAAGCTTAAAACATACGGAATTTAAAAAACTGCTGTTTACATGTATATTTTAGCATAACCTGAAGGGACAGAATGGGAATTTCAAATATTTAAACAGTATTTTCCTCTGGTAATATAAGGCAAGACAGACAAGACTAAGACACTGGACATCACTGGTATGGAAAAAAAAAAGCCTCCCAAACTTTTTTTACCAGTCTTAGTTTTTCACATAACACACTAAAAAAGGAAAAATCCTGCAAGCCTTCAAATACGTAAAGACATTCCTGTTGAGTGTCTGCCATTACCAAAAGTATCGCTTTTCAGTTTTACAAGACACAAACCTGCTAAGAATTATTTTACTGTTCTTAAACACAATTTAACTTCTGTAGAAATAACTCAAAACCAGAGAGGAAAGTCATGATTATTTTGGATAATCTAAGACATAAGTATATCATTACATATGAAAGGACTGTGCTATTGAGTTCCATGCGAGGAAGTCGCGTGTGTTACACTTTCTCTAAAGCCACGTTAAAAATAAGATCTAAATCAGACTCCCTGTTTCAATTTATTAGAGGGGCATAATGATTCCACGTGATGTATTTGTAGAAAACTATGACAATTTGAAAGGACTGCAAAGGCACACATTTGGTTAAGAACAAACTGGAATCAATCGAGTGACTGCTACAAGCTGAACACAGCATCTTAAGGTCATTTATTAAACCACAATCTACATGAAACGGTAGAAAAAAACCAAACAACTTTATTACCTAGATTCGTCTTCTTGCTTTTCACTTTTTCAAGCTCCCGTTCCAACTCTACTGTCTGGTATTCCACCATGGAAGATACACCTTTTAAAAACAGAAGACAGTATTTTCATTTGGATGAGACTACCTATAGTACTGGAAGACACACTGCGACAATTCAGATTTAGGAAGCATCACATTAACGCTTGTGGCTTTAAACTGCAGGTGTTTTTTTGAGACTCTTCAACTACTTTTCAAAAAACAGAGGCTTAGTCAAGAACCCTCTAATTCTGTCTAACCAGAGGAGTTCAACACAGAGGTTTCACAGGACGACCTTCTGCGATTCCTGCCTATTCTGTTGACCAGCTGCTGCCAGGAGTAACGCAACAGCTACTGCAGTGTCGCACAGGTCCGAAAACCAGATGTGGTGTGGCAGCCTGACACAGGACGGCTCAAATGTCTCATTGTTGTACCTCTATATGATTCTTGTATCAAAGATGTAAAGAATCTCTGGATGCCTTTCAAGGACACTATTATTTAGCAACTTAAAGACAAAGTGGACCTTTGCCTCCAAACTAAGTAAGCTGGTGGCTAGACTTCCAGTTTCAGCTGCTGCTTCCTCCCTCCCTCCCTTTCCTTTTCACTCGGCAAACTCAGTTCCCATATTGCTGACTTGCTTTGTTGACGCATCTTCTACTTATATGAGTTTACCTGATTTGGTCAGTCTCTCTGTGCCACAGAGCTCCCTCTGACAACTACAACCAGATCTTCCGCACAACCACCCAACCACCCATGAGACCATATTCTTTCCTCTTTACGGTTTACAGCACTGTTGTACAACTCCTCAAACTCTCTCCTCTACACCCACTCAAAACTGACAACCGTAATATTAATTCCTCTCTCTCTTGCTAATTTTTCTGCCTACAAGTTGCTCAGCAACTCTTCCTCTTATCCCTACATGGGCTCTAGGAAATCCAGCCCATTTTTCCCCTCCATACTTTTTCTCTCTAACCTCCCGGTCTCTTCTGACCACCCATCTTCTCCAGTGCAAGCACACTGTGGTTTCTCTTCTTGATTCCAGTTCCTCTACAAGCACTGCACAGTGTTCAAGCAATGATACAGCTCTCCGACTAGAGATTTGCTATTTCAGTTCTGATCTCATGATTTCTACTTTAGCTTTTACTCTTTGCAATCACAAATGAAACATATTTCCCAGGATAAGTTAGAAACACTCCCCACTCTCATCTTTGCCCCACTTCCATCGTTTTTATTTCTGAATAATCTCACCTGAAAATAAGTTCAGAGGGCTCATATTTTCCCTGTCTATTCCAGGTCAATCTCACTCTGCAAAAACACTCTGTGGCAGTGACAGTCCAAGGTCTTAATAAACCCTCCTAAGTCCTCTCTGTTACCTTCTTTCTTGATTTACATTGACACTCTTCACCATTCCCTACCTTCAGCCTCACCTTTGATTGCAGACTAACCTGTAATAGCACCATGTTCCAGATATTTTTTTTTAAACGCTCTGTAATAAATTTCTATGGGATTAATAGATTTGTCCAGGCTTTTATCTCAGATCTTGATCATTTGCTTACAAAAACTAAACAGCACTTAGGTTGCTGGCACACTAACACTACTCTATAGTCCAGTCTCATTTCCTTATTTTCTGTTGTCTGCTCATCCATCCAGCAATCTCGGTACAAGATAAGAAGGTCAACTTCTCATCCCATCCAGCCCACACTCTCTCCATATTCCAGCACAGTGAGGTTCTACCTGAAAACCATGACATACAAGAGTATTGCTTGGACTTTTTTTCTAGACTTTTGCTTTTTTATTTTCAGAGTATTAACACTGATTTGTTCAATGCAGTCAAATCATCAGTGAGGCACCCAACTGCTTCAAAAATTAGTTTTTAAATGTTTAATTACCTGATTCTTTCACACACATTTTTGCATATAGCACACAACCTCCGACCTATGCCTAAACATTTACCCGTGGTATCAGTGATACAGCATGCACGTGGTAATATTTACAGTGGCTTCAAATATATACATATCTCAAATCCCAGGACCAACCAGTAAGACACACAAATGCTGTTTTGTAACAATTTCTGTTCACTTGAAGTGCCTGCAACACAAATGTCAGTTTAATTTCTCAGTGTTTTTTAAATAAGTAATCATAATATGGGGGTTCTTAGAAAATATTGGGTGGGGTTTTTTTAAAAAACAAATAACATCATCATTATAAAACCAAGCTTTTGGGCTGATGCATTCTGTCTGAAAAAAAGTTTAAAACATTTGTTTTATGGAATGACTAACTACAAATTAAGAAAAAGGTTAGCTATAGAGCTCAGTGGAAAAAATCAAGAACTTTAATAGAAGCAGCTGAAAAAGAAAGAAAACTCAAGTTATCATCTGACATTTTTTTCTTCTTCATAATTGATTTAGGGGTCTCTGAGGAAAAGCTTGATTCAAGATATATGTTGTTTCCTCACCTCAATATAAAAATCCATAGCTCAAAACACTGATATTCATGGGAGTCGTTCCAACAAAGTCACATTAGGTCCCTAAGAGACACTTCAGTAGACATTCCGAATCATATTAATTGCAGTTCTAGTTCCTCCTTAAAATAGTAGCAAACAACAGGTTGCTATACAAAAGGATATTTTACGAGAGGGGAAGGCAAAGTTTCAGATCAGTCAAAAGAGTATTTGAAAAGGATGCAGCTAAATTCTTAAAAGCTCTATAACATTAGCTTTATTTCAAACACGCACAAAGTTCAATGTCAGCGCTGTCTAGCCAATAAATCAAATTGCTAGACGAGACTTGTTTGGACTAGCAATGAAAAGTTAGAAGGGATTCTCCAAGAAAGCCACAAAGCAGCTCATTTAAGGTCAATTTAACGGTATTATTCTGTTTTTCTTCCAGCCCCGACATAAGATTTCAGTACCTCAAAGGAAATTGTAAGAGTATCTATTTGCATTCCCCCTAGGTGATTGGCAGTTCAACACCAATTAGTTCAAAATTACACTGTTACTAGCGTGCAATAAAAACAACACCTTTCATCTTTCTTACATAGGTAAGGATACCTTCAGAGCCAATAACTTTGATCAAGTAAGTATTTTTGATCCTACCCCACCCGTCTCTTTGGATTCAGGAAAACTAATAGCTGAAGGCAACTTTTTTTCTTTTAATATAAAAAAGTCCCAGCTTTATTCTCCGACTGTAGGAGTGATGTGGGTACTGAAATATAATACACTGGAAACAAACATTTTCCCAAAGCCCAGTATCTCTTCAATAGATAAAAATACTAGGGTAGATAACATGATCAAACTTTCCCCCTCCCTCCTCCTCCGATTTTCAGTTATGCACTGCAGACATCTGAGAAGGAAGAAAATTAGTTTCCGCAAAGAAGATACGCAGTTTCACAGTTAGATTAATTTTCAAAAATGAAGAGCTTTACAGAATACTATCAATTGCATCACCACCACAAGTTACATCTATATGAATCAAGAAGGGCACCAGCTCACACGGCAAAACTTTTTTTGTCATCTGCAAACAGAGGCTTTGCCCAGACTATGCAGTGGGAACAGTGATTCGTGATACACCCTTCCTACGTCCAGGCATTGTCTGAGGAAACATTAATTAGGCCAGGGCAAAGCAGTGCTAGGAGTGTCATAGCAATTATTCCACCAAGAAAAGAGAAAAATCAGCACTGACAATCACCAAGTATTGCTTCAGCCTGTGCTCCGGTCCTCTTCACTTTTAATAAAAATCCAATTCTTTGGTTATACATATAAATGGAGTGTATATTTCAGAAGGCTTTACTGCTGAACTGTCCAGCAGGGTTACTTAAGCACTTATCTTCCCACTACCACAACTGGGGAAGAGTTGCAACAGCCATGGCACGGTAAGCACGTAGCCTAATATATCTGCTCCGATACGGCAGCAAAAATACTTACACAGTCTGTATGTTAAGTCACAGATTATGGCCTCTAACATCCCAGCACCGCATTTACTGATGTAGTTAGCACCACACCTCCATTTGCACACATTTTTTTTAAAATGCAATAAACATGGTAAGCATGAGTCTTCATAGCTCTGGCAAAAATAGTAGCTATTTTTCTGGCATAATTTATATGTGTTAGAAAGACTTCTGGCATAGAAGATGAAGCTTTCCATGCTTGCCACATAAATGACAACCATACCTAAAATTACTTAAATAATTACTCACAAAAACGTTGCAGAGTATCTTCTCATGCATGTAAGACATTGCCCTCCACCTACATGCTATATCCAAGTTCAGATTTTTATTTACTTTTCTGCTTAAGTCCATTAATTTTCTCTGTACACCAAACTATGGGTTTTTCAAGAATTCCTTCAGATGGTGGTGTCAATACCATTCCTTCAGCACATGAAAGAGAAGAATTCAGTTCCCTCTCCTGTCAAAGGACATTTAAGCCCCACGTCTTTCACCTCTCAAGAGCAGGCTGGTGAGAGCTCTGTGGACCATGGGTGGGTTGCAGTTCCACTTTACGTTGAATAGTAACCAATTCGCTGAAAGAAAATGCAGTCTTTTGGCAAGTAGTTAGGGGAGCCACCTGCACACATCCTAAATCCAGATCCAATTAGTAGGTGCCTACAGATTAGGTCCACCTCATGAGTGTTTTTACTAAATTGCAATATAAACAACTGTTGCATAGACTTCTGCGCAGAAGAACAGCAATCATCAACTAAATAGTCACATTCTCCACCTGAATAGTGGAAACCACTCTGCACTACTTCTAAGATACCTGAATAACTATTACGTCTCTTTTAATCACTTTTCTTGTACCTAAGCACAATCACCATGACAACATAAAATACTCACTAACAAATATTTTACAGTTGCTAGCAAACATCAAACACACAATTATAATTACCCCATCACAGCTTCAAAGACATCCACTGCGTGCACCTTTCTGCATGTCTGTATGTGAATGCGTATATATCCGCACGTCAGTATAAAAACCTAAGCTTCCAAAACAGCAAAGGTGAACATGACTTTTAAACTCAAACCCTAGCTGATTTTAGCACAAAGAACTCCCTACTCCTCCACAAATTTTAAACACTGAAATAAAGACGACCACCATGATCTACCGTTATCAAAGGTACTTTCCCTGACCAAGCAACTTCGAAAGGAGACTTACTGAGACTTGAAAGAAGATTGAAATGTATGACAGAAGACTGAAGAGGAAGAGAGAAAGGCAGGAAATTAAGAAAATTAAGGCTAAAATAAGTCATAAGAGAACACAACACTGGATGTGTCATGACATGAGTATCCTTTGGTTTTCCAACCCGACGCAATTGTATAAATTGTGGATGGATGGCTTATCCATGCAGTTAAAAGCGATTCAGAAGAGAGTTTCTACAACACAATTTCCAGGTTCATAGAATTGATACATTTTCCATAATTGGTGCCTGCCACACTGCAATAGTCTTCCTTTCAGAAGCCAAAGCTTCATACCAGTTTTCAAATACTTCTAAACAGAAACACCTTATCAAGGAGTGCAAAACTGTAACACTAAATACAAGCGGTCTAAAACATTTGTATAATTATTCATTTTAATTATTCATTAATAGAATTGTTTCAATTACTAAATTCACCACATAGCTTCCAGAATATAAAGGACTACTCCAATGTTTATGGAATTATGACCTAAGATTCTAAATAATAATAAACTGAAACAGAAAAAATCCTCCAAATAAAAAACAAAACTGATAATGCAGGAAGCTGAGCCTCTTGCTAATGTAAGTTCATTGTTCTGCAGACAAGACTAAAATACAGTCATTTACCATTCCAAACTATTTTGCAGCAAGGGTGACGGGTCTGGTCAACAACTCATTTTGCTTTCTCAGTCTCAGAATATTCACATATTAGAGCTGATGAGTATGTTAAAAACAAAAACAAAGCAAACTACACAAACACACAAGCCAATCCTGAGCAGCAGGCAACGGAATGTAAACCTGTAAAGCTTGTTACATACGAAGATGTTGAATTTTTCTATTTTGAGAGAAGAGGCTATGTAACAGTGAGATCAGTACTCCTGATCAGAATCACTCTGTTCTAAATACTGTATTTGAAGCAGTATCAGAACAAGCATACCATTAAGCCTCCTCTGAATTGCTTCTTCCTCTAAAGTGATGATATACATCTGCTCATCTAGGTCTTCAAGGATCTGTATTTGGAAACAGAAACATGAACTGACTGAATATCAGAGTCACTTGTTTTTCTGACTGCACTAATCTAGTCAGGTTCCCTTTGTTCTAGTAACCTATATTTTAAATACATAGTCTACAACTTTACAATACCGATACAAATAAGAACTCCACAAAAAATTATCCCATTCTGTTACAGACCTCTTTCTTTACTGTAAGCAAACTTTCTTTTAAGTTTTCATTTCAGGTTAAAGCTCTTATGTTGTTTCAATCTAAAGAGACTGCAGAAACAGGGGAAGGGACAGTACACCTGACATATTCAAATCATATCAACCCTCACACTCGATTTAAACAAAAATAACTGTAGATTTTGAAAAAGTATATTAAAAATTGACTTTTCACATAAGACAATATTTCAAGCAAATATAAATTGCTATTGGAACCAAATAAATGAAGTCTGTGTACCACACTTTCAGGTGCTTTGAGTTTAAAGCTTACAGATAGCAAGAGAGTATATTTTCTTTGTATTTTCAGGGTTCAACTGACTGATGAAGAGGAATTCAAGGCCTAAGCATGCCCAAATTTTAGTAGATACAAACTAGGAAACACGATGGCAAAGTCACTAGAGCGCTTGTACATGGTACAAACTTCACCCTTCCCTCACAGCACTCAGTACAAGAACAGTAGGGTATCTAGGGATAAGAAGTTCTGACACATGCCAACTACCTACATTTCACCCATCCAGGAGTACCCCAGGTACCCTTCCTGCTACCCAGCCTTAGTCAGCCTTGTCCCCTTTGCTCCTGAGCTCAAAACAAGCCCATGCTTTTCAGGTATTTGCAAACCAGACATAGTAGGTAATACTGGTAATAAGTATTAGTATTAGTAGCAGTTATATAAACTGGAAAAAACAGAGGAAGACCATACTATTAAAAAACCCCTTCTTCTGTGGAAAAACACAATAAGTATTAGTAGCAGTTATATAAAATGGAAAAAACAGAGAAAGACCATACTATTAAAAAAACCCCTTCTTCTGTGGAAAAACAAGGCTTTTGTGCTATATGAAGAAATTTAAACAAGTACACAAATATTGACTATAGAAACTGATGTACGGAAGAGAGAATTATGTCGAAGTGCAATCATTCTAAAAGGGAGTACCCTAATGCCATTCTGCCTTCTAACAGACAGCACACGAGGACAGATTTGTGTAACACTTACTGTTGGCTTCACCAGCAACTGACCCATTACTGTAAACATCCGTGAAAGTCCCACTGGCGTGCATACTGCAGAGGAAGAAAGATTATGCAAAACAGCGTTTTGTAAGTCAAAGACCAATTTTTATTTGGATGTTCAATGTGTTATTCCACATATAACCAAGCATGGTTTTGAAGAGAACTGCAAGACCTTCAAACTCCAATACAAACTTTAAAACACATTGCTATATGAATTTTGAACGCAACAAGCATCTCTCCCCTCCAAGAGCATAACTGCTATTTTTTTTGTCAACAAGGAATGCCATACAATCAGATATCTTAAACTCGCTCAAGTAATTATTTATTCAAAGCATGAGGAACCAGAGGCTATGCCTACACGAGTAAATTCCGCAGTGCCAGGATACATTTCTGGGCATTAAGACTTGATTGTCTACACCAGTAAATTGCTAAAACTATCCGTGGCATGACTTGCCCTGGGCCAGGTAGCACTTTCCCAAACAACTCCCAGGTGCAGTTCTGGAGTTGATGCAGTCCAGGAACCATTATCATGAAGCAATACATACACAGCCACCTTCTGCAAACTGCAATATCATGGATGGAATGACAATAGTTGGCCACAGCACTGGGAAACATCTAAGACACATTTAATCTATTAGCACAGGTGTAGCTGTAAGGTCAAGAGATCATGAAGCTGCTTTGCTCTAGAAGTTACGCTGCAACTTCAGTTGATAGCTCAGCGACCAGATTTTAAGCTACTTTTCTAAGAAATAACAACTGGTCCTTTTTGATTATAACCTGTGATGGTTTTCAGGTATAGTACATATACGCTTGTTGGGAAAAAGGCTCAAACCATGATAATAGAAAATGATTCGTAAAAATCAACAGTTTAGGGAGAACAGCCTTTAAATTAAATAAAATTCCTTTAAGGAATTTGTAACAGCATGGATGAAGATATACATTACAGTTTCCATTATAATAAAACAGTGTTGTCAAAAAAAGGAGAAGCACAGAGGATTTTATAGTAAGGATTAGATTTATTTTTATTAACTAGCGTTTCACTATGACTACTATGTATTACAGGAAAAATACAAGGACCATTCAAAGGCTAACTTAAGCTATTCTTCCTCTACTACAGAGGAAGCCTGCAGGAAAAGGATAAAAAAGAAAGGAAGCGATACTCCAAATCACCCCTGCAATAAGCCTTACTCATACACTGCTTCAGCAATTAGGCCAGTCGAACATCTAATGAACTGTCCCAGCATCTACCACTTTCCCACTTGCTGTATGCTGCCCTTTCAGCTACACAGATATAACAGCTTGGAGGGCCTTAAATAAGCTCAGTGATTTGCTTGCATAAATTAAAAATAACTCTTCCAAAAATTGGCATTTAATCCCAATTATTTCAGTGAACTGTTTCACAATAGCCCCAGAGCGCACACTGTGTTTTCAGCTCTGCTGACACAAACTGCAAGACAGATGTGGGGAGTTTGTAAACTAACTTCCCCATTAAAACATTCAGCAACTGTTGTGAATCCCATTCTTGAACGGCCTACATGAGACATTCAGAACCATGTGGTTTTGTACTTCCCCCCCTTCCTCCACTGAAGTGGATTTAAGAATCTCCACATCCAGAGAACCGAAGGAGACCCACGAGGTCTCTGTGAGCGACACCTTTCATAGACAGATCTGCTTAGTTTTGTTTCAAATTATCATTCCCCACTCTTTCTCCACTTCCCCGTAAGCGTTAGCTGTAAACTATAAAGCCTGGAGCACAGGTGAAAACATGATAATCTATAAAGGCAGATGTTCTTCCCCCCCTTTCAGCAATTTTCTAGAAATTATTGGGAGGGGAGGGGGAGGGCTGAAATTATAAGTTGGATTTGGAACTTTCCATCATCTTTATTATTCCCCTAAATATGGATGACTGACCTCTGGCTAGGACCAGGTGGTATAAGGTTGGGTTTTTTACTGCATTTGTTTTATATGCAATCATATAACTGACCTCCAGACTGGCCAGATACCAGTTTTGTGATGATGAAAGCTAATTGCACTGTGTTCCAACTTCTGTCTATGCAGGGAGATTTTCAATTAAAAAAAAAAAAGAAGGAGGATCACTTACTGAATATAGGATAAACTAAGTGTTCCAAAATAACTTTCTCGCCATACTACTGACCTCCTGCAGACATTTCACTTAAAAATTGTCATTTCCTTTGCAGAATGGAGTCCCTATTTTTCAAATGCTTTAAAAAGTTAAAAGTTGAAATTATTTTGGGTGAGGTGTGAAGTTCCTCAAAACCTGAAAATGTAAGGTAGCATTTGTTCGAACTTCAGAACTCAAACCTCACAAGTTTACATCTAAATTTAAACTTCATGATGAAAAAAAAATCACACTCGTACCTTTCAACAATCTTAATTTTCACAGTGAAAAAGTTTCCTTTAATCTCTAAAAAAAAAAATATGCATAAAATCATTCACCTTTTGGAATAATCAGGAAAATACTTACACAGAAGTAACAAGCATCCCATCAGTGATATACAGGAATATAAATACGGGAGGTAGAATTCCCAGAGGTCTGTAAAGAAAATATTGAGCACAGCCTTAGCTTATTACAAACAGGCCACTTATGTTACAAACACAACTGAATCAACTTGATTTTCTTAAGTGTTCAATCTTAATTTTCACAGTGAAAAAGTTTCCTTTAATCTCTAAAAAAAAAAATATGCATAAAATCATTCACCTTTTGGAATAATCAGGAAAATACTTACACAGAAGTAACAAGCATCCCATCAGTGATATACAGGAATATAAATACGGGAGGTAGAATTCCCAGAGGTCTGTAAAGAAAATATTGAGCACAGCCTTAGCTTATTACAAACAGGCCACTTATGTTACAAACACAACTGAATCAACTTGATTTTCTTAAGTGTTCAGGATTGAACAATTGTAAATTCAAGAATAAATTAAGAATTATTCAATTAATAATCCTGTAGGCAATTAAATCTCCAGGTACTTTAGCTTGAAAAATATCTTCAGCTTTTACTTCCATTTTACTTAAGTCACTTATTTTTAACCTACATCATGCCCATGAGCATGGAACTTCTCAGCATGCTAAAAACAGATTTAACAGAAAAAAAAATGGTATTGACTAAACTAACACAGCTTCTTCCCAACCTGTGGAATACTCACGTAGCATTTACTAGAAAGACATTTAATTGAAAACATCCATTTCCATAGTTAAAATTAAAGTAGTGTGGTGGTTTTTTGAATTCCATACCATACAAAGACTCCATACTGGCAGCATCATTGTCTATGAGTGCTGAAGCCACCCATACGATGCCAAGGATAAGCAGTGCAAGAAGAATAAGCATTACAAGTGTTTCCAAAATGCGCGCTCTGATGCCCTGTGGGCAGAAGAGGGGAGAGGGAGGAAAGAACACAGCCAAGAACTTAGAATTAGATATTCTCAAACACAAGAAAAATACAAATAAATAGCAGTTCCTTGTTCCTAAATACATACTCACATTTTAACATGTAGACAAAAGCATAACATCTAATGCACATTTAAAAGGCAGTGCATAAAAAAGGAAGTACTTATGGCTTTATAGTGCCCAGATCGCATTTTCTCCCCTTAAAACCACAGAAAAAATGTTTTAAATTGCATATGCCTTACAGTTCTCATTAATCTCATTATTCCATAAAGTATTCTTCATACCACATGATTTTGCTTGAGCATTTTTAAAAGATGGATTACTTTTCTAATACTTTCAGCAAAGAAAGTGGATTAGCAAATTTTTATCTATGATTCCAATCAAGGGAATGGAAAGCCAATTATGGCAAATAGCCAAATGGCCCAGCAAGCATTAAACCCTGCGCAGGTACAATGCACCAATTTAGTTAAAATACATTCTTCAACTGCAATTGCTTCTGCCCCATTCCTCACAGTCTTCAGAGCCCTCAAGTGTACAGTCAGAGTACTGCTCGCCCTTATGCTGCCCACACGCTGCTGCAGCCGCATCCATAACCTCCCATCTTTGCGTGCTCCACACTGAACGGAACACGTACGTCTGGTTTACGACACACACAAATCACAGGTCTACAAGCTTATACACCATAGCATTTGCTCTTGAGTTTAGAAATGTAACCGCTCTAACAGTCGAACGTTAGATTTACAAATGTAAACATACCAAATAATACACAAAATCTTTTTTTTTTAACTGGTGTTTTTAACACTAATTTTAAGGAACAGAGTTATTAGGACACTTTCTTCAGACATCTTTGCCATTAAGGTACCATCAGATTGCTGATCATATAACAGTTCTATTTTTCTCCATTTGCGAGGATACATCTCCACAAATAAACCCAATCTCTTGTTTCTCACACAGATTCACCAACTTGGGTATACTCCACCGAGAAGTCTACTTTATAGTTAAAAGCAGAAAGCTTGTTTTACTTTATTATTTGTCTACTTTTATCACCTCTACCCTCACTGCTTAATGCAAGAGTGTAATCTTTACATGACATTGACCCTGAAAATCACGCTTCCCTACACAACCACCGTGTCCAACCATGAACAAGGACCTCAGGCATCCCAGGCATGAGTGCTGATGTCTTCTAGCACACCAGTTCCTCTCCACCTCTGCAAAACAGCTACAGTAGCACAGAGGAAAAAGAGACCTTCACAAAATTCCCCTTCTATCTTAAAGTAGGCAGATTAAGTCCAACTCACAAAGGATCTCAAACACCAAATTTCAAATTAAAGGTAGTATGGATAGGATATGGATTTACTCCTAAAATGTATTTCGTGTACAATAAAAGTGGGTTTGAGATTGTTAAAAGTTATTAAAATGTTATTTTTGTAGCTCTCAGTCTTCCTTGAGTTACTTTGAGGGTGAGCATCTAAGACAAATACAGGTATCTGAGGATTAAATAGTTTTGAACTTGAGCAGTAAGTTACCAGGAAACAAACAGATCACAGTCTAAGAACTGAGCACTGATATAGAGCCTTCACTTCAACAGAAGAGAGTCACAGGATAAGAAGAAAACCCAAAACATTCATGGATGCATGGACAGAGATCTGCTTCAAGCTCTTCAAAAACCTTGAATAGTCCTTTCCTCTCCTGGGCAGAGGAAAATACAAAGCTACCTTCTGGGTTTCTGAAGACCTTAGCCACAGAAAGCTGATTCCTTACTTCCCTTCTCTGAGACACACGCACAAATCTCAGCCTCTCTGACTTCAAGTTTCACAGCAACAGATTCTTCTGGACAAACCTGGAGAATACTTCATTTTATGTGGCAACCCAAACACCGAATCCTCCTCCCCTGGATGGAGTAGGACAATTGCCAAAACAGATAAACAAGAAATATACTGTGATACAGTCAGTCAATTGTAAATAACATTTTTTCGTATTTATTGCAAGCGTTCTCTGAAGACAGGTAAGATTAGGACAATACAAATAACACTCTCTCTCATAAAAAGAGAGATAACCACAACAAGTACTCAGAGGTAACCACTGCTTTTGTCCAAGAGTACCATTGGCAGAAGCTCTAGAAAAAGCCAGTGAGCTGCTTAAGGAGCCTTCCCCATTTTTCAGTTTCCATGCTACTTTGAATAATCTTTGATTCTCAGAAAACTGGATCAATCTCCTTCTGTTCTCACTAGTTACATCTACCTCCGCACCTATGTGATACGTCAACAGTACTGCAGTCTCACGTATGTACTGAAAAGCAGGACTGACAGCTAACTCCGAGGGCAGAACAATTTTTATATTACACAGCGCACACACAATAGGATTCACACACTGATGATAATTTAAAAATAGTGAAATAGTAGTATTTTTGAGAGCTTCAGTGAAGTGATTAGATAGAAACACTCTGTCATAGGCATTAATGAATACCTGATAACAGTCCAGGATAAAAAAAAAAAAGTATGCTTAAAGCGTATAGGTAAATCCTTAATCTCAATTAGGCATCCATAAGACTGTGCCCTATTAAAACATTAGTGTTCTAGGCACATTAGTTCACACTTACATACATTAGCGTACCTGTCAAACAGCTGCTATTTGTAAGGAATGAAAGGTACAGAATTTCCCCCGTGCGCACACACACACGGAGAAAAGTTCTGAAGAATCACAGAATGGCTGAGGTTGGCAGGGATCTCCGGAGGTCACCCGTTCCAACCCCCCTGCTCAAGCAGGGCCACCTAGAGCCGGTTGCCCAAGACTGTGTCCAGGTGACTTTTGAGTACCTCCAAGGATGGAGACTCCACAACCACCCTGGGCAACCTGTGCCACTGCTCGGTCACCCTCACAGTAAAGAAATGAGGTGAGCCTTAAGCACCCTTACTACTTATTTTTGCTGAAGGTAATTTTGTTTGTTCAGGTGAAAAATTTAAAGTTCGAACATCATCGTTAGTAACATCACTAATTTAAGAGCTGGGCAAAAATCTACACTCCTGACTTTGAGAACAGAGAGAAAACACAGGTAAATACAAGGAACATTTCATTTTATTTCAATTAAAACAAAACTATGCCAATAAACCTTGAAATTCAACGCTGACTTTTCTTTTTTTTTTTCTGAGCAAAATCCTCTTCACTGACATTTTGGTTTTGGCTTAACATTTCTTCTTTGAGTCATTTCACTTCTCTCCCACGGCTCCATTATATTACTCAGATTTCTCAGATGAACCAAATGCCACGGCCTATCTTCATGGCACAGAAGATATTGCCGCTTCTATTTCACATAATAGATGTTGCACTTTTTGAATCCATTTACTCCTCACATTTTTTTTGTGTGTGAAAAGAAGCATTAGTCTGCCATCTTCAATAACAGCGACAATCCCATATAAAAATGGAGATTTCAAATGAGCGTGTAAGAGTACATTTATTGTTCATGTTCAGTCTAAACCATCGTATCTGCCTTGAGTACAGGATTAACAAATGAGTACAATATGAAAAAGCATGTAGTGTAGGTATGTAGGACTACTTCAAATTAGCATTCTAACTAAGCAAAGAAAAAATACTCATACAGCACTAAATCGTAGCGTCAAAAACGTGACTGCATTGGACTTACGTGGAAGAGTGTGCAACTCATTGGCAGTGTGCAACTGGAAACAAAGGAAACCTTTACCACACAAACGAAGGAGGTGGCCTGCCCAGCAAATTAAGTGCGTGTGCATATGCAGGTGAGGGAAGAAGCGGGGAATAGACACCTTTTACATTAGAATTTTCCAGTTTGATTGTTTAACCAGGAGAAATTGGCTCATGAGCTCCTGTGATCACTGCTTAACATTCCTATGGAAACTAAACCAACTATAAGAAAGAGGAATGGCAAAATCCTTTGTATTTTTAGCTTTCCGTAATGTTTTTGAGAAGGAAAATTGAGTTGTTCAAGTCTTCATCTAGTCTCCTTTCCTAACGGTTCTGACAGGTAAGAGCAAGGAAAAGTGCGCACTATACAACCAACCATCTTGCATCAGGTTTTTCAGAAAGTTGTTCCAATCTCAACTTTCAAACCTGCATTTGATAACACAAATACTACATTCTTAAGGTGTCCTTCATTACAAACAGAATGCATATACCACAGTTAATTCACTATCTTCTGAATTATTTTAATGCAATACCACTAGCAGTTTAACCTGTTTTAAGGGAGGAGGGATTTATCTCCAAACCAAGCACGGATTGCACAGTAAAGCACCAGAAGGATACCTCCAGGATACTGACAGGTTTTTTTATTCTAGAGAAGGGGCTGAGAAAGCATCCTCACTTTTGCAGGTGTTGGTGTTGCTCCTACTCCCCAGGCATACGCAGAGAAGAGGGAAGGCTATAAAACACTAAGGAGGAGAAAGAGATGAACTAGACATAAAGAGCAAAAGGGAATGGGACAGCAATAACGTGAGCTAAAAGAAAGGTAGAAGTGTTGAGAAGAACAACCTGATCTTTGGTTTTCAATTCATATATAAGTTTCTCTGTAGATCTGAAAATAAGAAGAATGTTTTTCCTGGGATGGACTCAATTAGTACCATCCTTTGGGAAGCATGAACCACAAATTGAAGGAAGGTGGCACTTCTCTTGCTGGACAGTGATTTTAGTTTTAGTAGCCCAATTTTAAAGTCTTTTTCCATTAAGTTATCTAGAACAAAACATCAACTATCATTGCTTCCAGCACTCCAAGCACAAAAGACGATCTTTGGTAACTGCTAAGCAGGAAAACAAAATACATCCAACAGCCTGCAATTTCCTCAAGTGCGTTTTAGATTATCCGTAAGGCAAAATGGACTTCTGAAAGTGAATTACCTGCATGGTGCCCTATTGCCAAGGAAACAAAAGCTTGGCATCATACAGACCAACTTGACAGATAAAAAGGAGTCTCTTATGGAGGACAAAAACAAAATAAAAATCTGATC